CTTCCTGATGTCTAGCTCTATTAAATTAGAATCATTGTATGTTGCTCCAAATGCAAACCTTCGAGCTGTATATCTTTATCAACTTATAGCTCCAAATTTGGGCAGAGCCATCTCCTTGGCCAGATTTAATGTTCTTCCTTTTGCTCTTCTCTCTGGCAGATTCCAGGGGATCCCTTACTCCAGCAGGTGCTGTCCTCGTAGGAAGGACTGTGTTGAAACTGTCCCCCATGTTCTCCTTCAATGTCCCTTTTATTTGGTGCCCCGCCAGGATCTTCTGTACCCTATATTAGCTCAATTCCCAGAGATTCCTGACGATTTTAAGGTTCTGTTTTTACTTGATAATCCAGATACGGAAATAACAGAAATAGTAGCAAGGTTTCTTCTTAGTGCTATGGCTATACATTCTGATAAGTAACCACTAGGTTTTTCTGTTTTTATGCTGTTTTCCTGCACCGTAGCTCCAAGTTTACCCTATATTGATTTGTATTTTCCAATCTATATTTAACCTGCTCTCCTGTTGTATGCCAATAACGGCTTGTCAAAGTCAAGTATGTTGTTATGATATGGTAAGCGAGAAAGCCAGCCACCTGGCTGATCAGAAACCTGCTTCGTCTTGGTATGAGGTCTCTGTACCCCTTTGGGTGGTTTTCAGTTTCCCGGTGGCAAAGCCTGCCTTAGACTTCGGTAATGTCATCCTCTTATGTATTAGAAGTATTTGTGAAATTCTTCAGTCTTCCAACAGTGTTCCAGCTTGTTCACACCACTTTCCAGGCTCCACCTCGCATCTTAACCTTTGCTACTGACGTTGCTGCTGCTTGTCTCGCCGTCCCCCTTCACACAGTTGCCTCTCCTCGCCTGCTGTGCAGAAGCCCAAAGAGTCCTGCAGGACCAGCCTGAGCATCCCTCTCTAGTCCACCTTTCAGTTTCCAACAGCAGCTAGTCGATTGTTTACTGTTTTGGGCACTTTACCAATCCTGATTACACTTCCTCTGCCACCAGTGGCAGCTTGTCCTGTCCTGCCTGAGTATTCATTCTTTTGGGTCATCGGAGGTCACCTCACTTGTTGCAAATTGCAGCTCTAAATCAGTGCCTTTATATAACGAGCAGACATGTGACTGGGTAAATCAAGTGGGACTGGAATGACTCACAAAGCACCTGGTCTGTGGCAGTGAGATCTCTCAGCCAGCTTTGTTTTTTTCCGGATTCATTTGTAGGGTTTGTTGAGGGACACACACACCCTCCCCCAAAGCTTCCTTTATCACTGCTTTTAAATGTCTGAAGAAGCTTTGGAAAGTGCAGGTAGAAGATGTGGTAGTCATGTTAACTTTTCGTTTTTTAACATAGGAGTTAAAACAGACTTAAAGGGCAATTCGATCCAGCCACTTATTCATTCTGTGAAATCTTTGTGTGCTCTCATTGTTTGCCTGTTTCCTCACTTAAAAAAAAACACCCTCTATACAGATAGAATACAAGCATGCAAGGGAATGATAACATTTACTAGTTTCTTGACATGCTAGTTTTCTACCTGCAAGGAGATTCCTTCCTTCCTTTCTCCCTCCTTCCTTCCTTCCTTTTTCTTTCTTTTCTTTCTTCCTTCCTTTCTCCCTCCCTCCTTCCTTCCTTTCTCCCTCCCGCCTTCCTTCCTTCCTTCCTTCCTTCCTTCCTTCCTTCCTTCCTCTCTCCCTTCCTTCCTTTCTTCCTCTCTCCCTTCCTTCCTTCCTTCCTCTCTCTCTCTTTCTCCCTTTCTCCCTTTCTCTCTTTCTCTCTCTCTTTCTTTCTTTCTTTCTTTCTTTCTTTCTTTCTTTCTTTCTTTCTTTCTTTCTTTCTTTCTTTCTTTCTTTCTTTCTTTCTCCCTTTCTCCCTTTCTTTCTCCCTTTCTTTCTTTCTCCCTCCCTCCCTCCCTTATTTGAGGGACACACAGCCCTGTCTTTAGTCTTGGGAGGAAGGCGTGTGGCAGTGGCGGATTCAGCCTTCCTTCTGAGCACAGTAGGATCTCAATGGTCGTGGGAAGATCTGGAGTGAAGAAGCAGGTTGCCGAGGCAGGAAGACAAAGTACTCTCGGGGAGACCGAGTCCAGTTCAGACTTGGCCGTGGCCAGTGAAGGCCAGTTCAGAGAGGGCACCGGCTGTTTCCGGAAGTGGCTGGCAAGTGCGTGGTCAGTGCGCCACAGAACTGGTAAAGTGCCCCAGAGTCCTCAAGGTGACCCACCAGGCTTAAAGGGTCAAAAATAACAGGAGAAGGAATTGAGAGCCCGGATCTCAGTTTGCCGTTGACATATTGCCCAGGCAAAATCTGGGAAGTCACTGGGGAGCTTTGGGGGCCAAGAGATGCCAGTGAGAGTTGTGGGTGGGCTGGATGTGCAGGGACCACGGTGGAATATAGCTATGAGAAGAGGGTGTTCTGCAGGCCTCTTTTCAAGCCCACAGCCTGGTGTAACGACTTGGAACCTGCTTAACAGTGACTCCAAAACTGCTGTGTCAAGGCTGACAAACCTTTGCTGCCCTTAAAAACACAGCCTAAAACTGTGCTGTCTATTTCTTCTGTAGTTTTGTCATCAGTAGAAGCACCTCTTCTGCTAGTAAACATTCCTGTAAGCATTTCGTGTTCTGATAATTATCTGTATTTTCCCTTCTTTCTTCACACAGACATGCCAAACGAATAACAATTAAACCCGAAGATGTTAAACTTCTGTCTAGAAGAAGCAACTCATTGGTGAGATTAGAGCCTTGCTTTCTTACTATGTTATTTCTAAATGAATGAACATCAGCTCCTACTTCATTTGTTTTTTCTGCTTGGGATTTGATAACAGTCTAGCGAGAACAAACGCTGCCTTTAGATGCCTTACATGCCCGCTGCTTTTCTCACTTTGCTTCTGTAATGTTGTCATCCTTCTCTGAAGCAAAGTGATGCACACCGGTGCAGTATTCATGCTGGCTGCAAGAACATAGCCATGAAACTGTGTGAACAGATGTAAATCAATGAATGTGTTCTGGCATCCTTGTGGCATTCTGACACAGGAGTTTCTCGGTGTCTTTGATGTCCTTGGTTAGTGCACCCAATTGCCACATTCAGCCTCTCGGATCACTGGGAGTTACTGAAGGAGCAGTGCTTGCAATCAGCCACATGTCCTCTGGGAAGCCACTAGGGTGAGGACCAGTGTTCCCTCTAAGCTGAGGTAGTGTGAGCTAGCTCACAGTTTTTTAGCCTCCGGCTCACACATTTTTGTCTTAGCTCAGGACAGAGGGTTCCAGAGCCAAGTAATGTATGCAGTAGCCAAATCGCTCACTCACAGCTTTAATGCCAGTAGCCCACAAAGTACAATTTTTGCTCACAAGACTCCACAGCTTAGAGGGAGCATTGGTGGGGACCTTCCCCTTGTCAAGGCTGTGGCTTTGGAGTTTCTTCCCTAAGACGACTGGATCTTGTCCTGTCTTTGGCAGTGTTCTGCCAAAGGCTCGAGAGAGATGATTTTTTTTTTTGCCAGGGTTTGTGCAGGTCGTGCTGTCCTATGAGGTTCGTTCCAAAACTCCGTGGTGGTTTTGCTGGGTGCTGGTTTTTAATGTATGCTGGTGAACAGACAGGCGGTCTTAAGCCGATTATGTTAATGTGTTGGTTTCAATGCTGCTCTTTTCCCGGGGCTGGGCGTTAGTGGGTGGTTTTATCGGAATGATAGTTTCCTGCATGTCTAAAGTGTTGTACTCTACTCTGGAGGCCCATTTTGTGGATGAAAGGGTACGATATAAATAATCTTAAATAAATAAAGGGAATGCAGAGCTGCTGTTTTCCGCTGCAGCCGTGCATCTCCTGCAGTGTCTGTTTCTGGCCTGCATTTTGTTCTATTCATGATTTATTTACTTCATTTATACTTCACCTTTATCCTCAACAGGGACCTAAGGTGGGTTATATAATTCCCTTCTCTGCCATTTAATTCTTGAAACAACCCAGTGAGGTAGGTTAGTCTGAGATCCTGTGGCTGGTTCAAGGTTAACCAGTAATTAATTAATTATTTATTTATCATACGGCATTGTTTGTAGAACAGTCAGGAGGTCTTAAGAGTGTGCTGGCAGCCAGAAGTTCTAGCTCTTTAGCATTATGCACCACTAGGTGGCGAGCTAGACTCGTTTTTAAGGCAAGAGGCATTTCAGAGGTGGTTTGCCATTTGGCCTGCCTCTGTGTCACGACCCTGGTATTCCTTGGAGGTCGTCCTTCCAAATACTAGCCAAGGCCAGCCTTGCTTAGCTTCCAAGATTTGATGGGGTTGGGCTAGCCTGGCCTACCCAGTAAGCTTCTGGAGTTCTGGACCTGATGGTGGACCTCCTGATGGCCCCTGGGTTTTGGCCACTGTGTGACACAGACTTCTCCAATATGGCTTCTCTTATTCAGTAATTGTTGTACGGCAGTGTTTGTAGTATAACCAGGAGATCCTAAGATTGCCTGGCAGCCAGAAGTTCTAGCTCCTTTAGCATTATGCACCACTAGATGGCAAGCTAGAAGTGTTTTTAAGGGAAGGAGTGGTTTGCCATTGCCTGCCTCTGCATTACGACCTTGGTATTCCTTGGAGGTCGCCCTTCCAAATACTAGCCAAGGCCAACCCTGCTTAGCTTCCACGTTTTGATGGGATTGGGCTACCCTGGCCTACCCAGTAAGCTTCCATGGGTTTTTCAGTGACTAGTCTGACACTCTAACTACTACACCACGCTGGCGCATTGGCATGGTTGTTGATGGCAGTGCTTCCAGGGTAGGTTTTGGCCTGTTGTTTGCCCATGAGGCTAGGCATGTAGCTGTTTCTTTGTAAAAATAACACCAAAATTTGAGTCAGGTCCCGTCCCCCCGTCCCCCGCCTCAGATAGCACGGCTTCTAATTTTAACCTAATGTGGGGATGTTTCTCCTTCCAGCTGCCGTCTGAGCAATATGTTGCTGTCTTGGAACAAATTGTGGGTAAAGGGTGCAGTCGAATTGCGCGTCCTTGAGCGAACAGCTGCGGCGTAGCTTAATTGGGCATGGAACGTCTTGTCAGGAAGAAACAAGACGGTTGCTCCCGTCTACGATTTGAGACTGCAGCTGTGCTGGTTAATAGCCCCCCCCCCCCTTTTTATACACATTTATTATTAGCGTCACTCTAATAGGGGAGTCAAGGCAGAACAAGCAAAAGAACCCCGGGGGTTGCACTGGAATCTGCCATGTTGTGTCTATAACCATCAGTACTTGGTATAAAGAACATTTAAGATGCTAGACTTGAATCTGATCGTGTTTGCAAAGGAAACCAAGTGGAGATCAGACTCTCTAATACTGAATCAGAGCATTGGTCCATCAAGGTCAGTATTGTTGGAGTCTGGCAGTGCCTCTCCAGGGTCTCCAGTCTTTCCCATCACTTCCTACTTAGTCCTTTTAAACTGGAGATGCCGTGGTTTGAACCTGGGACTTTCTGCATGCCAAGCAGAGGCTCTTGAGCCACAGCCCCACTGGAGCCCTTTAAACGCTCAGGATTCTGTAAGGATGCCTCTATCCAGATGAAACTACCTGTAATCTGAGAATTACTGCAGCTCTGTATTGACAGATGAGGCAGGTGGACTTGTGGATCAGTCCTTCTTCGTCATAGTGCTGGAACTCTGAAACCATCTTCTGCCATAAAGTTTCCTTGCCCCTCCTTTCTTTACCTTCACTGCTTCTGACAACCAACCAAATATTCCCTTCCACACCCACACATCTGTTTGGGACACTCAAGATGCTCGATTACAAGAAAAATGTTGTTGTTATACCCCACCAGCATCTTCTGTTGCTCCCCAGAATAATTTATACTGTTGGAATTTTATATCCTTGATCTACAGCCACAGCCTTTCAACATTGTGTTAGGACTTTAAAATATATATATTTCAGAGGACATTGTGCAGTGGCTTTCACATTTCTGATGCTGCTTGGTTCCTTATGTGACTGAATGTGATTTGCTTATCTTCTGTTGTATTTTTCTTTTTAAAAATTCCATTGAAAACCTTATTTCTGTTTACAAGTCACCTGTTGACATGATCAAAAAATCCCCGTCTTCCTAGCCTTGGTTTCATACAGTCTTAATCATTCATTGTTTGACACCACATCCCCTCCCTTTGGGGAGAGGCAGAGTTGCTTTTTTAAGCTGGTTGAATGGTTGATCCTGGGAATTATAAGGGCTTTTTCTGTTTCCAGCTGAAGTACATCACACAGAAAAGTGAAGAGCTGACTTTGAAAAAAACTGAAGAAAAGGCAAAGAAAAAAAAGACATCCAGCAGAACCTCTGATGAGCACGTGGGACCTGCCGCAGCTGACAGTGAAGACTCCAACATGGCCTGATTCCTTTTTTCCCTCTGGCCGTCTCAGGACTGTGTCTGTCTTTTGTCAAACAGCAGCAAAGAGCTGATATTGCCATACAGTGTTCCAGCGCCTGCTTGCCTTTGAACAGGTCTCATTGTGGTTACTCTTTAAAAAGTGCAACTATAATGGGGGTGTTGGTTCCATCTTTGAAAACCCATGTGAGAAACGGATACTTTACAGAATTCGGGAAAGAGATATCTTTGTAAATGGAAAAGGTATACAGCGTTTACATTTTTGGATTTCCCAGTGGGAAACTGTCGGTAATTAAACAGAATTTATTTGTTCAGGCTGAAACAACACTTGTTATTCTTAAAGGAGTGGTGGTCACGTCCAATGTTCCTTCTAAGCTGTGGAGTCCTGTGAGCAAAAATTCTACTTTGTGAGCTACTGGCAATTAAAGTTGTGAGCAGGTGATTTGGCTACTGCATAAATTAGTTTGCTCTGGAGCCGTCCTTCCTGAGCTAAGACAAAAATGTGTGAGCCGGAGGCTTAAAAAACTGTGAGCTAGCCCACACTAACTCAGCTTAGAGGGAACACTGGTCACGTCTACACACGCTTTCTTTATAACATTTAGATCACTATTTCTTCATTTATGATCGATTGATTTATTATTACAATCAATGACCTGCAGAAATAAACACAATAGACATTAAAATCGAAAATGCAGTACTTCAAATTTATGTACTAAGAGTACTAGTTACAATGTCAACATTTAAAAATTGCAGTGTCCATTCTGTTTCTCCAATGAAGCTCGGAAAGATCTTGCTTTAGTATAATGTTTTGCAGCCTTCTCCATAGTCTGATATGATTCATCTATAAGGAGAACCAGTAAGATACAATTTTTCATCTCGTCCCGGGAATTTTCGTCATCATTTAAGAAACGCTTGAGGTGACTTAATGATGGTAAGTAAATACAGTAAAAATATCCAAAAAGCCAACAGCATAATAGCTGAACAGAATAAAACTAGATCAAGATGGGTTGCCATGTTAGTCTGTCTGTAGCAGCAAAAAAGAGCAAGACTCCAAGGAGCACCTTAAAGACTAACAAAATTTGTGGCAGGGCAGGAGTTTTTGTGAGTCACCACTCTTCTTCAGAATAAAACTATCAAAAGCACTATGATGCAGACAAAACGTACAGATCTAAAAGGCTATCCATAATGGCAGCAGCCCTAAAACAGTAACACTATCTTAAAAAACCAACAAGGAGCCAGCGGAAATAAGAAGTAGGAGATGTCAGGTAGAAAACTTCATGGTAGAAGACAGCCAGTTAAGCAAAACTAAGTACTTCTTTGCTGGATGGCTAATGGTGCTGGTATGATAAACCTTAGCTTGGAGGGCAGAAAGCCACCCCATCCTACTCTTCGGGACATGTCTCTTTACAGATATGCTGAGAGTGTGTATCCAGTTTGCTATGAATTACAAAAAAACCCAAACCCTTACATTTTATTTAGCTCTCTGTACGCCACCGGGTGCATGCAAGGCCTGGATCACATCATCTCATAAGAACATAAGAGAAGCCAATGCTGGATCAGGCCAATGGCCCATCCAGTCCAACACTGTCACACAGTGGCCAAAAATACCAGGTGCCCTCAGGAGGTCCCACCAGTGGGGCCAGAACTCCAGAAGCCCTCCCAGTCTTGCCCCCCCCCCCAAGCATCAAGAATACACAGCATCACCGCTCCAGACGTAGGAACATAAGAGAAGCCAGTGTTGGATCAGGCCAGTGGCCCATCCAGTCCAACACTCTGTGTCTAATTCCCTCTTGAAGCCGCCCATGCTTGTAGCCGCCACCACCTCCTGTGGCAGTGAATTCCAAGTGTTAATTACTCTTTGGGTGAAGAAGGACTTCCTTTTATCCGTTCTAACCCAACTGCTCAGCAATTTCATGGAGTGCCCACGAGTTCTTCTATTGTGAGAAAGGGAGAAAAGTACCTCTTTCTCTACCTGCTCTATCCCATGCATAATCTTATAAACCTCAATCATGTCACCCCTCAGCCGTCGTTGGAGAGCCGTCTCCAAACTGTCAAACTTAAATTAGAGAGAATATAAAGGAAAGGAGGGGTTGGATAATGGATTGGCAAAGACAGGCTGAGGACTGCTTAACTGGTAGCAGAAGGGAAAGATTCTGCTGATGAAGGTGGCTGAGATCCAGAATGGTGGCTAGGCTTTCGTTTCCACTCACCCAGTGGAATTTTTGACGTTATCTCCGTTGAGAGTGGCTTCCCTTCCCCCACTGCACAAACTGCTCATGACCCTGCCCTCCGTTTCAAAGCCGTTTGCCATGTAGCCGCCCGGGGATGATGCTGTTCAAGTTAAGAACCAGCCTAAAGCCTCCTTGCTCACTGAACTGAGTTTAAGGGTGGCTTTTTGATCCCTAACTGATGTACTTTTCTAGAGGGGCCTTGCCCGTGAAGTGGGTGCTAAGAGACTGACAGAAAAGGAGGATTCTCCAGATAACTTGGCACAAGTCCCAGAAGTGGGAGTGGGAAACCAGAGCCCCGGTGTCAGATAGCTGGTCTGCTTCCAAAGAGTTAAGTAGGACGGGGGACTGTGGCAAGATATCGGAAGCCTTAATGATGAAGAAGAGAAGAGCAGAGATTGGATTTATACCCCGCCCTTCACTACCCAAAGGAGTCTCAGAGCGGCTTACAACCTCCTTTCCTTTCTCCTCCCCACAACAGACACCCTGGGAGGTAGGTGGGGCCGAGAGAGCTCTTTGAAGGACTGCTCCTGAGAGAACAGCTCTGAGAACTGTGACTGGCCCAAGGTTACACCAGCAGCTGCATGTGGAGGAGTGGGGAACCAAACCCGGTTCTTCCAGATTAGAGTCCGCGCTCCTCACCACTGCACCAAACTGGCTCCATCTTTGCAGACACGTGAGAAACAGATACAGAGAGCTGTGTAAATGAAGGCCTGTGGGAAGAGAAGGATGGAGAAACTGAGGTGATGGTGATGTAAGGATAAAGGAAGGAGACGGCCTTTAGCCTGAGACGTTCGATGTGACAGAAGAAGACAGAAGTGATGGAAGAGAAAGGCCAGCAAGAAAGAGGCAGTAGAACAGAGCCGGGGCTGCATCAAAGCTGGGTTTGTGAGATCTTAGGAGGAAGAAATTTTAGGACTTTATAATAGCCTGGCTCTGACGGAAGATAGAAAGGGAGGCTATGCAGGTGCCTGCCTTGTTGCATACACCCCCCGTATCTAGGATGGGAGGGCATCTCTGAATGGTAAACCTGTTAATGCCAGAAGAGGGAAAGAACCAGTTCTGCCCTTTCCGTAATAGCCTGTCAATAACTTTCAGGGAAGTTTGTGGAGGAATTGGTGCTTCACCCGTCCTTCAGGCACGAATCTTAGTTCTAGCCAACCCTCTCCACGGTGCCTGTATGGAGATGAAGGATTCAGCCATCTTGACTCCTGCCTTCTCCCACCAAATAGCGAAGTGTTTATCAAGGGGACACATTGCCTGAATTTTGCCTTTGTTCAGAAACTGGGGTCCAGCCAGTGTTCCCTCTAAGCTAAGTTAGTGTGAGCTAGCTCACAGTTTTTCAGCCTCCGGCTCACACATTTTTTTGTCTTAGCGCAGGAAGGAGGGCAGCAGCCAAATCGCTCACTCACAAGTGTAATGCCAGCCGCTCACAGAGTCAAATTTTTGCTCACATGGCTCCACACCTGAGAAGGGAGCATTGGGCCCAGCCTAAACACCTTTTACTTGTAGCCTGGTAGCTTGAACTTAGTTCTGCTGTCTGGGAATGTTTGTGGTTGAACATCTATCCCTTTGCTATGCTGTTAAGACTGGGGAGGATGCGGAGAACTTCTAAACTTTGTTGCTGCCATAAAAAGCTCATTCTGGTTTTATCTTGAGGCCGTTGGGCATCTTTCTCTCTTGTTAGCAGCAGGCAGCCTTCCTTCCCTGCCTTCAACGCATCCATAAAAATCCACCATTGTGAATCATCTGTTGCTAAATCACTCTATTTTGTGCTCAAAGCGGCCCTAATCATTGTGGGAATAATGGTGAGGAAATGAGGTTCGGTTGGGGTGGTTTTTTTTAGCAAATAAAAATGCAAACACAGCCTAAATTAACAGTAAATGTACTTTAATGGCAACAACACCCAGAGGCTCTAATTAAGGGTTAAATCCACACAAAATGCACAATTTGGGGACGTAATTGCTCTCTGGTTTGTGCGTCATTGCTTGAGCTCGGAGAGGGGGGGAGAGTAGAGGCGGAGGAAGGGTATTGACGATGGCTTTACTAAAAAAAACAAACACCAACTTATTAAGTTGGGAAGTGTATGCCCCCCCTCCTCCCAAAAGTACAAAATATAACTTGCCAAGCGGGTGTCTCTGTCTCTGGCAGCAGAGGAGAGCCCCATGGCATCCTTTGC